TGTATACAATACAGAATTTACCTATAAACAAGTTATTTAATATACAGTATAATTTCTTTTTACAACTTACATTCTGTTTAAGATGGTTTAAGGGCCAATTTCACCAACGTCGGTTAAGCTAACGATTGAAGTGTTAACCATGATTGGTTCATTCTGGTCAACGACAAATGCGATTGGATAATTCCATTGGAATTAACCGTTGGTTAGTCTAACCGACGTTGGTGAAATTGGCCCTAAGAAGATTTTTTTCTTTTTTAAGTGTGTCCCTCGGATGAGGGGAAAATAAAGCGTCTCTAGCCCTAACCTTTTTGGGCTATATAACGCCAAGAAGACTTCTTGATAACGCAAAGGTTAAGAACAAGACTTCTTGGTTATAACCGACGCGCGCATGCGCAAACTTTCATTCAATGTGCAATGCCACTGCGCATTGAATGAATAACCGCGGACGTTTTTTGACCTACCCCCACCACGCTAGTTTACTCTCCTGGTTCTAGTCTTCTTGGGTTCGTTCAGAAATTACACTCAGATTACTCTTGGGTGCATTTTTGATATAATATACGTAACGTAAACTATAGCCCAGAGTTACCTAGGCGTAATTTCTGAACGCAGCCCTTGATAGCGATAATGGCGGATGCAAGCAAGTTAGTGAAAACACGCGGCAAAATAAAGGGGCAGTTGACGCGCGTGCGCAATTGGTTGAGGGTTTTCGATGCACAAACCCATCAAATTGAAGAAGTCGAGATTAGGTTAACTATGTTACAACGTGCGTGGGATGAATTTCACGTGACTCAAGACGCGCTGGAGGAAGTAAATGCGGAATTCGAGAACGATGGCGAGCGGGAATCGTTCGAATCGGATTATTACGCGACAGCCGGGGCTGCGAGAGCGCTAATAGCAGAACGCGAACGAACAAGGGTCAGACGAGAAAATCGCAATCTCAATGACCAAGGTACAGGCAATGCGGCGAATGCAGTAGATAAAATAAAGTTACCTCCGATAAATGTACCTACATTCAATGGAACTTACGATCAATGGCCGAATTTTCGAGACACATTTAAGGCGGTTATTGACGAAAACGAGGCATTGATCAGATATCAAAAAACTTTATTACTTGCGGTTAGCATTAAAGGGTATAGCAGCGGAAGTATTAGAGTCAATGGAAATCGGCTGACAATTATGATGTCGCATGGGACCTGCTTAAGAATCGATTCGAAAATAAGCGCGTTTTGGTTCATCATCACGTTCAGGCATTGATTGAATTTCCAGTTATGCAAAAGGAGTCACAGTCTAATTTGCGTCAATTATTGGATTACACGGAAAAGCATGTCCGTGCATTAAAAAAGCTTGGAGAACCGACGGACACATGGGGTACCATTCTGGTTCATTTAATGACAGCGAAATTCAACAATGTCACAAAGCGTGAATGGGAGACCAAGACGTCTTCTATAGGGAGGTCGCGACATATACTTAATTTATTGAATTTACTACGAATCGGTGTATTATGTTAGAAGCATTGCAGATTGATAAATTAAAATCAACAAAGGTTTCATTTGTTACCGGCGACAAGTCAGCAAATGCAAATAAAAAGACGGTTGCTGCCCCGGTAGCGGAGGTATCGAATAAATGCTCAATATGTAAGGAAGGGAAACACAGGATATATCACTGTCCTACCTTTCTCAACTGGACTCCTCAAGCAAGGAGCAAGGAAATCAAAGGGCTCAAATTATGCTTTAATTGTTTCAAGAAAGGTCATAGTATTGAAGCATGCAATTTCACTACTTGTCGCATGTGTCACAAAAAACATAATACATTGTTACATGTTTCTAGCGGCGAAGATACGAAAGAGAAGAGCCAAACTGAAAGCTCCTCAATTAATCCAATGGTGTCAACAGAGCAATCATCTACGAGCGTAACGCATTATGCTGCACGACAATGCGATCGTGGATTGCTAGCCACGGCAATCGTTGAAGTGCAGGACAACGAAGGCAATTTTCAGGAATGTCGTGCATTTCTGGATCCAGGTTCACAGTCAAATTTCATGACAAAGGAACTTTGTGAACGTCTATGTTTACGTCAACAAAAAAATTACATGCAAATTCGTTGCATTGACGGCATACAAACCACCGCTCTCACCGAAACTTATGCTACGATACGGTCAAGAATCAATGCATTCAAGATTAAACTCGGATTCTCAGTACTACCAAAAATTACGATGAATCTTTCCTTGACGGAAATTAATAAACGACATTTGCAAATACCAAGCTCAATCACTTTGGCAGATCCATCCTTCCATACTCCAGGACAAGTCGACTTGCTTCTTGGTAGCACCATATTCTGGGAACTCCTTTGCGTTGGCCAAATCAAGCTAGGAAAAAATCAACCAGTGGCACAAAAAACTAAATTTGGATGGATCATACTGATCATAGCTGGACCCATAACCTTCGAATCCAACAACATGTCAATTGTTTCCGTTTGTATGTCGTTTTACAGTGAAAAAATCGAAGATCAACTGGAACGTTTCTGGAAGGTAGAGGAGAGTGCTACTTGTCCAGGGCGAACTGAGAATAACGAAGAATGCGAAAACGAGTTTGTGCAAACATATCGTCGCAACAAGGACGGACGCTTCGAGGTACGGCTGCCTTTAAGTGATAGCATAGAACGATTGGGACATTCACGCGATATCGCAATCAAGCGGTTGAAGAGTATGGAACGAAAATTCGCCAGATCTTCAGATCTACGACATCGATACAACGAATTTATGCAAGAATATGAACGAGTCGGTCACATGACCGAAATCAAAAGTAACGATAATTCTGAATCGTCTTTATATTTACCTCACCATGCAGTATTGAGGGAAGACAAGTCAACCACAAAACTCCGAGTCGTCTTTGACGCATCATGTCCTACATCGACCGGAGTAGCACTGAACGATATACTACGTGCAGGGCCTACAATTCAACAAGAATTAACGTCCATACTGCTCAGATTTCGTCAGCATAGATTTGTAATCACGGCTGATATCAAACAAATGTATCGCCAAATACTTATCCAAGAAGATCAACGAGATCTGCAGCGAATCGTGTGGAGACAAGATTCAAACGAGCCAATACGAGATTTTCGTCTCAATACGGTTACGTACGGAGTAACCAGTGCGCCCTTTCTAGCTGTTCGATGTTTGCATCAGCTCGCAATTAAATATCAAGATCAGTATCCGGACACTAGTAATGTCATACTCAATGATTTTTACGTGGACGATCTTTTATCTGGTGGAGATGATGTACACACCTTACAGCGAATCAAGCATGAGTTAACCGAAATACTACATTCAGCAGGCTTTCAACTTCACAAGTGGAACACTAATGAATCAAGAGAGCGAGAAGCGTCTTCAGAAGTCAAGTCACTGCCAATTGGAGACGAGATAAAAACTCTAGGAGTTTGTTGGAACATTACAGACGACTGTTTCCAGTTTACAAAACTTAAGCCATCAAAGATAATCAACGTGTAACTAAGCGAATTGTATTGTCGACCGTTTCTCAAATTTATGATCCGTTAGGATTGTGTTGTCCGACAATCACTCGAGCGAAAATTATACTCCAACAATTATGGCAGTTGAAAGTGGATTGGGATGAATCTCTTCCACTTCATTTACATATTACTTGGATGCAGTACGAAAAACAAATGGATGAGATGAGTCTAATTTCGGTTTCGAGACATGTAATGTGCGATCAACCTCAGCGCATCGAACTTCACGGATTCTGCGATGCGTCAGAGGCAGTTTACGGGGCATGCATCTACATACGAAGCTTCAGTCAGTCGGGGCAAGTAGTATCGAGACTACTATGTGCAAAATCCAGAGTGGCACCGCTCAAGAACCTCACATTGCCTCGGCTTGAGTTGTGTGGAGCAGTTTTGCTGGCTCAACTCGGGTGGACCGTACAACAAGCATTATCCGTTCAATTTGATCATATCCAGTACTGGAGTGACTCAACAATAGTGCTCTCTTGGATCAACCACAATTCTAGAGAGTTACAAACGTTCGTAGCCAACAGAGTTTCAACTATTCAACAACTAACATCAGGAGTTCAGTGGACACATGTTCGGTCAAAGGAAAATCCCGCAGACCTCATATCGCGAGGAACAACGCCTCAGAATCTCAAAAATCTAAACTTGTGGTGGTCCGGACCAGATTGGCTCTTGGAAGATTGTCAGGATTGGCCGGCTGAAACTTATACAAAGGTATCTCCAATTCCAGAATTAAAGAAACAAACAGTAATCACTTACTGTGACTCATCGAGCCGCGAAATCTTCACGAGATTTTCATCGCTTTCACGATTGAAGAGAGTCATAGCTTATTGCATGCGATTCAAAAATAATACATTGATGAAGCAAACACGAAAAACAGGGCATCTGTCCATTGAGGAATTGAATAATGCCATGCTGCTATTGATACGAATGGTTCAAGCAGTCGAATTCGCGACTGAGTTATCATTGACTTGACAAAAGTCTGTGCTCCCCGCTTTACCAGCGAATCATCCGTTGACTGAACTAATTATTCAAGATTGTCACCTTAAGCATATGCATGTTGGACCTCAAGGTCTACTAACTCATTTACGTAGCATGTATTGGCCGTTATCGGGGCGGAGGGTAATCCGACGAGTATTACGAAAGTGCGTAGCATGCTTCCGCGTACGTCCGAAAAGTCAAACTCAATTAATGGGAGATCTACCCAAGGAGCGTGTCACGCCGGCCCGAGCGTTTATCAATTCCGGAGTAGATTACGCCGGACCATTTTCTATTAAACTATCGCGAAATAAAACCGGAAAGGCGTATCTATGTATATTTGTATATCTCACAACAAAAGCGACGCATTTAGAAATAGTCAGCGATTTGACTACCACTGCATTCTTCAATGCATTAAAGCGATTCGTAGCGAGACGAGGTCGTTGCGCAAATTTGTTTTCCGACAACGGCACCAATTTCATAGGTGCAAGCAATCAGCTTCGGGAATTGACGAAAATGATAAGTAATGATCATGTCGACCGATTTTTAACAGAGCAAGCAATACAATGGCATTTTATACCTGCCAACTCGCCTCATATGGGCGGGATCTGGGAAGCGGCCGTACGTTCAACAAAAACACACATGAAGCGTGTTGTCGGCAACAATCTATTAACATTCGAAGAACTTAGTACAATCTTTGCACAAATTGAGGCCGTACTAAATTCGCGACCGTTATGTCCTCTTTCAAACGATCCTCAGGATTATGAAGTGCTTACACCGGGACATTTTATCATCGGCGAACAAATTAACTCCTTCCCAGAGCCCGACTTAACAGAAATATCTACAAACAGGTTAACACGATTTCAATTGTTGTCGCAGATGCGTCAAAACTTCTGGAAACGTTGGGTCAGCGAGTACTTAACGCAACTTCAGAATCGGTACAAGTGGCAGAAACCAAATTATGATAATATTAAGATCGGTACGTTAGTGCTATTAAAAGACAATGACCTTCCACCCTTGAAGTGGCGCATGGCGAGAATAATTGAACTCCATACTGGCTCCGACGGCAATGTCCGTGTTGTTAGTGTACAAACACCTACGGGAGTTACGAAGCGTACCATTCACAAAATTTGTGTGCTTCCTATCGAGGATTAAGCAAGTTTTTTTTTCCTTTCTTTTTATCGTCTATTATATCGACGTTTTTAATTTAAATTAAATTTAAGTGTTTATTCGAGCGTAATAAAGTTTTAAGTCTATGCGTTATGTTGATAGTTATTAAGTTATCCATTGTATGTGATACATGTCAGTATGTAATAGTGCTCATAATTATTAGCGAATAAGTTAAAAGGCTAAGCCTCTCAAGGCCGGCAGGATGTTACGTCCGCGTTTTATAGAGAAAAGTAACGTTATCGACCTAAGACTATTGACTTGTTATCGACCTAAGACGATTGATGAGAGCGCCACCATTACCGACAGGAGCGCTGCAACGTTTTCAATGCGCAAGGAAACTCAAGAAAAATGTATTATCACGATTCGAACATGGCGGCGTACACAAGTCATTGTAATCCTGCAATAAAGAAAATACGTGAAGAAGACTCAAATAATCGCATATCTTCTCATTAAACAGTGGTTATATGAGGATATGAAATTTCTTGATCCTTATATTGCACAGAGAAGAGGAGAATCTTCTATAACAGAAAAAGTGAGCAGAAAAAATACTTGAAAGTTACAAAAATATTATAATTAAATAAATAACAATTGAAAAATAATGATAATTTGTAGTTTCCTAAGCATGAATCGGAATGTTCAACAATAAACGAATTAATAAATGAAGATGATACGGACAATTTACAGCTATTGGATGTACATAATGTTGTAAAAGATAAAGAATATGATAAAGGTAAGAATGATAGATTTTTATATTTTATAATGTTTTAATGTATAATTTTATAATATTTATATCATGTGCATGTATATGTATACGTGTGTGTGTGTGTGTGTGTGTGTGTGTGTGTTTGTGTATGTGCGCGCGCGCGCGCGCGTGTGTATGTACGTGCGTGCGTGTGTGTAAGAAATATAATTTTGATTTATATTTCTAATTATTATTTTTATTTGTTTTAAATAGAAAATATCTGTGAAAATATTCATTCATCCTCTTCAATGAGTAGTATCTCATCACAATCACGTACTGCAACATTCGCTAAAAGAAAAAAATCTGAAATAGCAAAAACTAATTCCTTTGATGTTACAAACAATTTTTGGTCAAAGGCTTCAACTGCAATTGAATCGATAAGTCAAAATAAAGAAGCAGAAGACGGCTTGAAACATTGGATTTTATATGTAGAGGACGAGTTACGTAAGATTAAAAATTTGAAAAAATTAAAAGGTTTGCAAAGAAATATTATCACATTAATCGATGATGCAGATAGTGATTAAACAATATACTATTTTTATATTGCCCTATCTGTTTTATTATTATTCATATAAGTTTTATTATTTAGTAAGTAATGTTCGTAAAGTGAGTGATAAAAAATTATTTTATTAGTATAGTAAGTAACATACGTAAGAGTTTGATACAAAATTATTTTATTACTATAATAACGTACGTAAGTTTATGATACAAAATTATTTTATTACTATAGTAACGTACGAATGAGTATGTAATACAAAATTATTTTATTATTATAGTAACGTATGAGTATGTGATAAATTATTTTCTTACCTTTTAGTAACTTAAATTCTTGTTATTCAACTCTTCTTCCAACTCTTCCAATATTCTTAAAATGTGATTTGGAAAAAAAACAATTGTTTTTTATGTGATGAATATTTAAAGATAACTATTAACATTATAATTTTTATTTCCTTATGTCGAATATGCTGTGAATATTTAAAATTAAAATAAGTAGCAGAATATAAGTGATTATTTATGATGTTATAGTTATTTGTTATAAAATACAAAATATAATGTAATTGTTACAAAATAAACAATAAATGGTTGAAGTTTGGAACATTCTTAGACCGATTTTTTTAAAACAATTTCCCCCATTTCTCCTTTTGCACAGAGACACTTCCGCATGCCAGACAACAAACAAAAAACACTCCGATGGAATACACACGTTGGAAAGCAGCTTTATGAACGAAAAACCACTTTTGAGCGGGGTTTATAAAGACTAATGTTTTTTTTTAAGAGTGAGAGAGAATAAAATATTGTTTCTTTTTAAACATTTTTAATACTTCAAATTTTGCTTTATACCGTATTATATTAATAAAATAACATATTTAGAACATATTATAAACATCTTATTATGATTATGCTTGCTTTTTGCAATTTTATATTTATAACATTAGCCTTACATATTTTAATAAGTAATGTCAAGAAACATAAAGATATACATCAAGATACTGCTTTTGACTATAATATAAATTACAAAATGAGATGTTAAATTTATACAACAAATAATATACAATCTTTTAAATACAATATAAATATAATTATAACGTCATACGTGAAGCATTTGTAATATTAATATATTGTTTTAAAAATATGTATCATACGTGACGGTTGTTTTTCATTCACAAAATAGAAAAAGCATTCAACAGTATTAAAAGACAGTATTAAAATAATAAATATAAATAGAGTATATAATATTTTGACTCTTTTATGCCCTTTATAAGATTTTTGTATTAAATCATAGCTTCTTGCCATTCAACTCTTTCAACACTATTAAAATATTATTTAAAAACATCACGAACATAGATTGCGTTTCTATTGAGTCTTATGTTTACAATTTCTAAATTACGTAACTGTACATTATTATTTCTCCATATAGCAAGTATTACGGTTCTATTTTCTAAATCTTCAATATCTACAGCTCCTTGTAAAAAAAGTATTATTTTCTTTACTAATGTAATTATGTAAAGCGCAGCAAGCAAATGTTATATTTTGAACTGATTCAACAGATAAATATATTTGTGTTAGAAGAATGCGAAATCTGTTAGTTAATATGCCAAAAGCATTTTCAACTACTCTCCTACCTCTACTTAGTATATAATTAAATATTCGCTCATCATGAGGCAAGTTGCTTGATGGATAAGGTTTTAATATGTGATTCTGCAACGGAAAAGCTGCATCAGCTAAAATAATAAAAGGAACAGGCTGATTCATACCGGGTAATAATTTATCTTTTGGCACATTTAATAGATTTTGTAGATGATTTATATATTTTGCCAAATCACTTTCACGAAAAACTCCTCCATCACTTACTCTGCCATTAACACTAACGTTGACATATATAAATTGATAGTGAGCATTAACTAATGCTAATAAAACAATACTGTTTGTACCTTTATAATTATGGTACAATGATCCTTGACTGAGAGGAACTTTAAATTCAATATGTCTGCCATCCATTGCACCAATGCAGTTAGGCACATTCCATTGTTGCAAATAATGGTCAGCAACATGATTCCATTCTTCTTCGGTATCTGGAGTCTAAAATATGTATAAAATATGTATATGTAAATGTATATGTGTATGTATTATGTATATTACTTAAAAAAAGTTAAAAAATTGACATTTAAAAGTAATTTAGTTATGTTAAAATTTGATGCATTTAAAATTAACTAAGTTAAGTTAAAAGTTATTAACTTTTTAACTTTTTTTTAACTTTTAACGTTTTAACTAGTTAGTACTCAACCCTGGTTATGTATATAAATATTATTCTAAATATTCACAGCATATTCGATACAAAGAAATAAAAATTATAATTTTAATAAATAAAGTTACCTTTAAATATTCATCTTTCAGTACTTCATAAATGACTCTAACTGTTTCAGGGATGATACGTTATAAAGTACAAGCCGGTACTCTTGTTGCAAATTCCATGCTGCAAAAAGATTCTCCAGTAGCTAAGAATCTTAGAGTCAAGGATAGTCTTTGAATTGGCGGAATGCACTTTCGCATAACTGTATCTTGTCTTTGAATAAATGGAGAAACTTTAACCAACAAATTACTGAATAATTTCAAATCCATTCTGAAGAATCTACAAAAAGATTCTATATCTTCATTGACAAGTTCATTGAGTGCTAAGTGAACAGATCCTCTTAATTCGAATTCTCTTCGTATAATCCATTCTCTTGTCCACCACCTCCGTTGTCGATATCGTAATTGTTGCAGTTCTTGTTCTTCTTGTTGTTCTACATACACAGCAAAAGCTGCAAGAGTCAGCAACCTTTTTAATTTTGTCTTTCTCGCTGAGTTATTCATATTCCAATTGACCCTGTGAATAATCAAAATAAATAAATTAATTAATTAATTAATTAAATAATTAATTAACTATTTAATTAATTATTTAAAATTAATTAATTAAATAATTAATTAATTAAATAATTAATTTTCCGAACAATCAAAATAAATTAATACTTACGATGATTCCTCGAAAACGGAAAAAAAACAGACAGCCGAGCTAAAACGACGCCTGCAACGTCACGTCACAGACTCGAATAGCACTATCTACAGTCATCAAAGTACAACTATTTCTATTCCAGGACTTGAATCGAGAACTCGGACATATTTCTAGCATCGTGAACACAAGCCCTAAAGGGGGAGTACTGTAGGGATTTCTAGTACTTTTAAGTTACACCTTGTACACTCTACACACTTCTTACACTTTTTAGTTTTGTAACACATCTAGACATTACACAGTTTATGTTCATCTCTCTACACGTTATTCTCGACGCATTTTTGGGTACGGTCGAGTTGCCACTACAAATGCTTTGAAGCGTTTCTTGATTGGTCAATTAGTAAAATTCTTTCTTTTGATTGGTCAATCAAACGCTTCAAAGCATTCGTAGTGGCAACTCGACCGCACCTTTTACCGCCTTCCTTTCAACTACAAGCGTCGCCTTTGTAACTCTCAATAAAGACTTATATTATATTGTAAAAGTGTTTCGTACTTCGTACCCGGGATAATACTAACGAACGTGCCCACAGTTTTCTCGATTTTGCCGCTGTTCGTTGGGTTCAACTTCAACGAACTGCGATGTATTTTACCCCGGAAGTGCGTCATCTCACATAAAATTCTTAACCAATAGTAACGAATTGCTGTTGCAGCGTGCTGCGCATGAAAAAGCATTTTTATAACTCCACTATAACGCATTTTACGTTTAAAAATGTGGTTACGTCAAAAATCATATATAGGTAAAGGTTAAATATAGGGCAATTCTCTTAAAAATCCCAAATTTCGAAACGAGGATTATTGATACCAAGAGCACGTATGAAAACTTATATTGCACAAGAACTGTCTTAAAATTATAAGTCACGTTTCTGCTAAGGGCCTTATGTATACCTATATATCAGTAGCCATATGCATTACTGAACTTGCACTACCTTCTGAAATTGTGCAAAATCAGCCGGAAGTCAGTAATTCCCTAGGACCTACTTTCTTGAAAAAGATAGTAGTTACAGCAGAGCTGAAACGTGGCTGAACCGATTTTGGAACGAGAAAACAGTATTGTCAGTACTGTCAGCAAATTTCGGAACGCACCCATAGTAATAAGTGCGACTCTCTCGACAAATTACGGTTAATGTGAAGTTTTAATTTAGCAATGGATATAGCATATCGAAATGCTGTTTCTTTACATATCAATGAACAATTAGAAAATGTTTATTATTATAATGATAAACCACGTTTTCACATAAGGGATAATCTATTACAATTATCTGAAAGGCAATTTATAAATATTTTTTAAATAATAATAAATAATAAATACTAATATTAATATTAATATAAATATTAATAATAATTAATAATATTATTATATATATATATATATAATGTCCATTACCGCTTGTTGTAAACAACGCGTGCCTATAAGAGACGGCGAACGCGCGCGGCGCGCCTTGCTGGACGGTCATATATCCAGCCGCGCTCTTGCATTTGGCGGTGGGCCGGGTGAATTGGATATTTTTATAAATTAATATCTCGTTAACTATTCCAAAAATTATAAAATGGTAGAAGACTTCTTCTCAGTTTAGTCTATTCTACCCCTATACGACAAAACTTTTCATTACTTCTCAAACACCCTATATACTCTTTGCAAAAATGATATTCGGAGAAAAATTCTTATATGCACAAATTTAATTAAGTATTTGTCATACAAAAGTGAATACTTATAAGAGAAATTATTTAATTTTGATAGAGATAGATTGTTTCAAAAATTGTAAAACTATTTGCGCATTATGTAATAATATAGCCAGGGAATGGAAGTAACTCGTTACTTGTAACGAAGTTACAGTTACAAGTTACTTTTTTGGTAACTTTACTGGTAACTGCGTTACTTTCTTTTTTTGGTAACTGTAACTGTAACGAGTTACATTTTTTGGGTAACGGTAACGAAATTTACAGTTACTTTTGTCGTTACTTTGCACACGATTAAACACGGTTCGATTGGATACATGCTATCTATAGCGCTTATCAATAAGACTTGAAAGCCCTTAGACATTCGGCCGTTATGATTCAGTAATTATTTTACACTTCTATCTTCTATGTAATACATAGGACATACAAATATTTCAGTTTGCTGCATATTTTACAGGTTTTAGAATTACAAAATTGTGTTTAAAAAAAATTAAAAAATAAATTAAATAATAGTAAAATGAGAAGGGCTATGAACCCAAAAGCGAAACAGTTTAAAAGACGATGACAATAAGTGTCGAAACGTCGTTTGTTTTTATCTTGTTTTATCTATGTATTGTTCTAATATATATTTATACATTTAATTACATTGTCATCGTCGTTCTTATCGGAAATAAACTGTTTCATTTTTGGCTCGTAACTCTTCTCATTTTACTTTTATTTAATTTATTATTTGAGCCATTCTACATTGTTTTTTTTTTTTTTAAAAAAAACTATATATTTGTCGCAGTATTACATATAAAAAAAAAAAAAGCAAAAGTACATTTTTAAATTGATTTTAAAAAAGTAACGGAAAAGTAACGAAAAGTTATTTTTCAAGTAACGGTAACTGTAACGAGTTACTTTTAAAAAGCGATAACTGTAACTGTAACTAGTTACATTTTTTACTCGGTAACGAGTAACTGTAACTAGTTACTTTTAAAAAGTAACTTTCCATTCCCTGAATATAGCAATCGTAAAATGCACTTTTAGTGTACAAAATCTGTGTGTGCATACAAAAATTTTTCTTTCAATATTATTTCCGCGAAAAGTATATAGCATAGAAATGAAAAAATAAGGTGAGAAGTAAAATTTTGATAAAAATCAAGATAAAATAAAGATGAAAATAATGGCGACTTTAATATTTAACATCTGTTTTACTTATCTATTATTTGGTGTAAAATTTATATAAAAATGCTTTATATTTAATAAAAAATATAAAATTTTTCTCTTAAGATAAATAATTAAGAACGAAAAAGGACCACAATTAATGATATGTTATAGAATTCAGACTTAATTTATAACCTACATAAGGATTTACGCAGGTTTTCCGATTTTCACTGAAAAAAATTACGATTCATCATAACGCTGAATAATTCACTTAGCACATAATTCATTTTCTACATGATTCTACATTGCAAATACTAAATAAAAGACACTATATATGAACCCAATAAAAGTGTTACTGCAAGTTCGTAAATAATTATAATTAATTTATCAAATTAATGATTAAATAATAAACATATATCATCATCACAAGATCAAAAATATATGGTTTTGTAAAAAAAATATATTTCACGCATATACAAAACTCTACTTTTGACAGATTATTCAATTCTACCGTTACTGTATGTTATATCTACGATCTCCGTCACGCATTTGTTACAGGATTTTTTTCAGCATTTTTGTCACGCAAATATCCACGTAACTTTTATACAAAGACACAAATTGCATAACTTGTTGCTCTTCAGATTCTCATATAATTTTAATATTATCAAAGTAAGTTCAAAGTTATCGCACATACATAGATTTTAATTGTTTCGAGATTTGTGGCTCAACATTTTAACAAAATATTTGTAAATATTAACAGTTTCAAAAACACCAATATTTTTATACTGCAATATTTAAGAAAAAAGAACGTAAAAACGTGTCATTTATAAAAAAAAAAAAAAATAAACAGAATGTAAACATTGCATCGTTGTGATATAAAAGCTTATATTATATTTGTACACGTGGGGAGGTTACAGCGAATTGCATATTTTTGTTAATCGCTAACCAGTTTGACTGCAAAAAGTCGATACATGAAAGGCAGATAATCGGAAAACCTTTCTTTTTGTGGAATACGTTAACTCAACTTTGCCAAATGCTATAGCAGCGTAAAATTATTCGCACAAATATTGCATTGCGATATTATATTGCTTTGCTGTTGTTTACCTATTGTAATGATTCTCATATATTATAGTATTACTAAAAATACATGTTGTACACTTCCGCAAGTACGCATTATATCACCGAGTCGTCGATTACTTATCTGAGTTTTCATGGATAGCAATTTATTATAATTAGACTAAAAAATGATTCGAATGAAAATTAGTTTTCCAAATCATTAAATCAATCAATAAGTTTGTCGTTCAACAAACTGATAATGTATACCTATAAAAATATATAAAATATACTTACTTATATAGACTATATAGACATCGAATTATTAGTGATTGAAGAAGGAAGGCTTCTCAATGGAAAAGCAAAGAACTAAATGTTTCAAGAAAACGAATAGACAACAGAATTTAATTTTTCGATTAACTTAAAATAATCGACTTTTCTCTTATCGAATTTTATTTTAGCTATATAAAAGTATATCTAATGTGCTGAAATTGATGAGTAATGATCTTTTCCGACTTTGTTGTTAAGGAAATATTCAAATTTGTCATCAAGAATCTGTTATTAAAATCGCGGTATAGATATCTGGTATCATAAAATTATCTGTTCTGATTAATAACATTTTGATATCTCGTCCCACGTCGTAAGCGCTGCAATATGGAAACGCGTGATGATCCCATCGGAATATCCTATTACGTTAGTTAAATAAAGACAAACGAGTCGACGGCATTCGAATAGAATAAAATTATCTGCGGGAATCATAACCGCGAGTTTTTACTTGGAGCTTGGTAATTCCCGCTTGCAGAGAAAAAAAGTAAAAATCACTTCTAAACTGCCTGTCTGACAAACGTTATATGTACATATATACTAAGCCTTCGCATATTTCAATGATTACATAGTAAACACATGAACGAAGTAGCGTGGCATATAGGTGATTAATTCCGCCTGTCAGAATGCAGGCTTCTCCATAAATAATACTGCTGTTTACTCCACGCTATATGCTTTTACAAGGAGGACTGATTTTCTGATGCTATAGTGCACCACGACGCGTGACGGTATTATAATCAATCGCAATGTCGCAGATTCTAAAGAATAGAACTCGTCAACGGATAATTATATATAGGAAGAATTGGAGATAAAGATTTGATATGATTGTGCGTTTTCCACACTTAATCTTCCGGCAGGAATGAAGTGATCCTTCGACTCATCGCTTGATAATTTGCTAAGTTCGACAGATTTCTATCATTGCAATCGCCTTATCATCTACAAACAGAAAGAATTAACAAACGTCATTGGCCGGAGTGTCTCTTTTAGCGAGCACGTGAGAGGTGAATTCACGCGCATTGCCAGCCACACAATCGCAGTCCGCCGCAGATGGATACGCGCGGGAGGCCACTGCACACTCGGTTATTATTTCGCAGATATGGCTCGAAGGTAATTAATACTATTGTTATGATTCAGACAGGTACGTCATGTCCGCGTACTTTGGCTAGGCGATCTTTCAGTTTTCGATCGGAGCTCTAGGACACAGGTTCGCAGCCGCTCCGTAGTAAGTACACATGACCCACATGCGGCACATGTTTCGCCGACGCTTTGTATTGAATATACCGTCCTCAGCGAGATAACAACGTGTCGCTCGTGGTCAGCGATATAATGATGTGATAGGCAAATATAATGCACTTGACTACGCGATAACGCGACAATAATAAGTAAGTCGCCACAATGTCGGAAAGAATTTATAATCCAAACGATTATGTGATTGCATATGAAACTTTGTGCAAACAGTACAAGTGAATTGCGTGCAGTGTAATATATGGTATATATACCTTGCATGCCTTTTAAGTATCCAATCGAATCGTCTTGTTCAAAGTGATAGTCACGAACGATGCGTCGAATGCGTAAACACTTGAAGAAATAGTCGTGGAATTTCTCATTATACAACTCTGCCACGCGAGAAAAACCAAGAGATGAGCGCTTTCGTCGACAGCATTCAGGACGAGAAAACGCCGAGTGTCGTAAGTGATGCGAGATTAAATGCGAGTACCTCGCTCAGCGATATGGGGGAAGACGTGAAAGGTAGCAAATTCAACAAGTCAACTCAGAGCGATAGCTCGTGGAGGCTCCCGGCTTGCGGTGGACAGAGATCTAGGCCGATGTCCCTGGCGTATCTGCCTACGAAGATTCCGAAACAGATGAGCGAATTGAGCTTCTCCACGCATAGTTCCAGAAGCATGTTATATCCTGTTCAGAGCGAGCTAGTTTTATCATCTAGAAATAGGCACAATAACAATAGATATGTATCTCTGGACATGAGATCAATCAATAATCTTCCGTATTCTAGTCCGCACTCCAACAGCTACATTTTAGGCAATAGTACACCGCCGTACACGTGTTGCTGTACATGTGCAGGCTCGCAGATTCCGCCGTCATCCACACCATTCTCACAGAATGAAACTGACGATCAGGATGGGCCTGAGAACCTCTCGTGGAGGAGACTTCACATGAGCAGAGCGAAATTAAAAGCAACTGCAACCACATCTGAACTTCTTAGTGGATTCGCAATGGTAAGCGTAATAGTAATTACATTCGTATTATACATTGTGTTAAAATAGCGTAAACATTGAAATACAAAAGGATTTTTGCCTTTAGCAAAAAATGAACAATTTTTACAGATTTTTGCAAACTTAAAAATCTTAATAATGTTTTTCTATTTACTGCGTTAAGGCTCCTGAATAGTCTCAGCTATATGGAATCATGACGTCATAAGCGAGAAATGTCACACGTTGATGTTTCTTGCATGCTATTTGTAAATAAAGAGCATTTCGATGAAACAAAATAAGATCGCTTTGAACTACTTGTAAAAATGGGTAGAGACTATCCTTACCTCTACTAATAGTGAATAGTCAAAAGAGACTGATGAAATGAAAATTAGTAGATGCAAAACTTTACGTGCCTCTCACAACTATTTACTGACTTTCACAAGGGAGGTAAGGATAATCTCAGCTCATTTTTACAAATGTTTTAAAATGATCTTAATATTTGGTTTTATTCAAATTCTCTTCATTTACAAACGATAGATATATAAAAAAAATCAACGCGTCATTTTTTGCTTATAACGTCACGATTCAATATGGCTGATGTGAGTACTTAGAAATAATATTACCGAGAACGTAATATAATTTTGCTTTATGATACCCATGATATTATGTGTCAATTATTAATAATTATCATAATCATAAAAATAACAAAATAGCACATTGAAAAAAATTCGCATTGTTGCTGTTTGTTTGCTTTAATAAAAATTTAAATTTTCGAGGAATTAAGTTGATTGTGAGAGATAAGGAAATAGAAGAATGTTTTACACTTTGATAAAGTTTGAAATCGATCGGACAATCGGTTTTCAGACATTCTGAGCACAAGTTTTAATATTTAATAAGTTTTTTCATACCTGTATTTAGTCATTCCAAAGATATCAGATATCTTTCTTTATATCTAAGACATTTTTTTTCTTCCTCTTTTAATCTTATTTTATAACCTTTTCAATAATATCAACTGTTTTAGAGTTATTTGATTATCAGCTTTGTTAATTTTGTAGACGTTATCAAAGTACTTTTAAAAATATATTTTTTAGGAAAGAATTAAAACTGAAAAAATGCAAGAAGATAAATAAAGATTAGGAAATTTTTATAAATCATATATAACAAAATCCCTTTTCTCTTTATTCTTACATTGACATATTTAGTGCAACTTACATGAATTGAACAATATATAATGTAACAAAAATAAAATGAAATTTTACTTTAAATATAATATTTTTGAAAAGTGAACATCTACTAATGATTTGTTAATCTAGTTTTTAAATATTGTATATACATGCGTTATATCGTTTTTACTTCACTTTACATAAGCTTAGAGTAAAAAATTTCTTTATAAACTTTAAAAAATTTTATTTATACAAAAATTTTTAATTTAAAATAAAATTAAATGCTTTTTATATTGTGTTTTCCATGCAATTAAAATTAATTTGATTCAATTAATGGCGATTAAGTAACTTTCCTTATTTATATGTAATAAGCAACAAATATTTATGAATTATGATATTTTGAAAATCATTAAAATAAAACTGTTTTCCTGGAAATCTCTAACTCAGAGCGGGCTGTATGCGATTACACAACATTTCCTGAAAATGGTTAAATTGACGTCGACGACAATTCTATGTAATCTTCGTGCACATCTGTAGTTATATAAGGCAGATATCACTTTCTTTAATCCGCTTCACTTCTTGCGATATTTATAATAATATCTTCTAACGTTACTGACAATTGTAGCAAACTGTATATATTTCAATATTTTTTTCTGGTCTTTTAGGTGGCAATGGTGGAACTACAAATAAATGAACCGACGGCGGTTCCGGAATGGCTGTTTGTAATGTTTGCTGTTTGTACCACTTTCTTGGTATCAGTGCACATTTTTGCACTGATGATCAGCACGTATCTTTTACCCAATATTGAAGCCATAAGTAAGCTTCAAGTTTCACGACTCATAACGGAGTCACCCCACGAGAGGATGCGCGGTTTCATCGAATTAGCTTGGGCATTTTCCACGATACTCGGATTGTTTCTCTTTCTAGTAGAGGTGGCTATTCTCTGCTGGGTCAAGTTCTGGGACTATTCCTTTACTGCCGCCACTGCCAGCACAATAATAGTCATTCCCGTACTCATAGTATTTGTCGCTTTTGCTGTTCACTTTTATCACTCTTTAGTAGTTTATAAATGTGAAAGTGTGGTATCAGATATGAAGGATTTGGAGAGCATAAAAAGGAACTTGGACAACGTGACAATAGGGCAAACTAATGTATAAGTTCAAAATAATAATGCAACTTGTAACACACACACACACACACACACACACACACACACACACACACACACACACACACACACACACACAAATTATTAATGAAAGAGAATGCATTAAATCTGATAAATAAGAATATCGAGTAATTTCTATCAGAATATAAATTAATTTGTGGCAGACAGGAATACTCAGGTTTAAAATAGGTGCTGTTCTTCAATTTAAAACATATCTTTAATGAAAATGACATGAAAAAAGAACACCATGTGTGGATTTGTTATCACTTTACTTTTCAAACGCGACCATATGAAAATGGTCAAGTTTTATTATATATAAAAATGTACATAGCTGTACACATGCAAGTCGAGAATTGCAACAGTACAAGCAAGTGCTCTTTAGTATATTACCTATATAATATCCAGTATTTAATAATATCTGTGTGTATACGATTTAACTCTTGATTTTTATTTAAACCTGTTCCTTGACCATTCTGTTACTATCATATGTCATGTCGCTAATATACATATATAGTATCTTTTATTACCGCATCACTTAGTTTGCGGAAAAACTGAAGGACAATTGAGTACTCATTTTATGTACACTTCCTGAAATTTACATAATTTTTCTAGTCAATAAATAAATCGTTAAAGTTTCGAATGTCCGGCGAAAAATGTGGTTTCTTACTCTAATGTTAGGAAAAAATAAAGATATAATTAACATACTTCTCGTTTTTACCATAAACTAAGTTGTAATCTTACTATAAACGGTTTCTATAATATTATGTCTTAACTTCTTTTATACAAAAACACTCATCGATCGAAGGAGTTATTGTAAGCAAAACGGGGAAATATAATTATTTTAGTACAACAAAAGTATTAGGTGATACCTGTTGTTATAAATTACAAATTGTATTGCACTAATCTATATATCCGAAAAGTTGAACGTTTTCTTAAAGATACATGCTACATCGTATTGAAAATTCATTGTATTCGATTATTTGCTTAATAAGCAAAATCTCTTCATAGAGGCGTTACGCAGATTTTATTGTAAAGTTTGCCTCTTGAGAACTATTACCGTATGTACATTGGAAGAGAAAACAAAATCAAAACGTATATTACAGAAATATAAATGTCATGTTGCAATACGTAACTTGATACAAAAGAGAAAAAAAAATACTGTTAAGAGATAAATTGATGATTTGAGCATTGTTGAAAACTACTCTAAGAAATTACATTCTAAATTAATTAAAATCAATTTTACAAACATATCTTTGTAATTTTCTGATAAAATAATGGAAGTAATTAAAATTTATTTTATTACTTATTTTACTGATTTGTAATTATTATAAAATATAAAAAGATGATTCGATTGATATATGTACATATAACAATGGAGAATAAACTGCTTGTGCTATGGACAGGTAAAGAAATGAAAAATGAGATAATATTAAAAACAATTATACAAAAGTAAGATGATATTAGAAATGTTTTCTTTTTGTAGGATAAAATTCAAATTCTGTATATTAATATACAAGTATATGATGTTTCTATATTATTATGCAGAAAGATTAACGTTACTTCCAAAATACCAAATAATTCATCTTCTCTATTATAAAAAAATATTTTTAAAAGATTTGTGATAATGGAATAATGTTTGAATATTGAATCCGAAGAATCGTTAATTATGAATTATCATTCTAACATATGTATAATTTAATAAAAATTCGCTTCTTTTGATTATAATAATATAAAAAATGAGTCAGGCAATCGTTAAATATGTGATTAATCTGTAATTATGAATTTTACGTAATCTATTATAAGAAATAATATAAGAGCAGTTGTAATTCCATCTCTCTTAGATATATAGTATAATATTATTCTATTATAGAATATATTATGTTATTTTTTTCATTAATATTTAGGATATTATAGATTGATCTAAGAGAATAGAAAAACTTGTTTATCTTTCAAAAAAGTCATTTAATAAATTGGCTTTCATCATATTATCTTCAGTCTTATCCTTAAATAAATATATAAAGTCTTTCTGACAGCCTATCCATAGCAAGAGCTTGTTTAGAAAGTCTTTTTATTTAAACAAACCTTCCTTAACAACGCAGTTTCACGTTTCTTTCTTCTACTTACACGTGGAAAATGACAATAAACTCTACTTTCGAAATAAACTTATTAACAAACAAATAGCAAAACAAAATATGGTATCGAAAAGCGTGCCATTAATTATCGCAAATCGCAAAACTCTGTGCCCCCTTAAAAGTTTACGAAAATGATAATAAATATATACAACTATTTTTAGTATTACTACTTTGTTCAGCGTTAAATCAACTTTAAAACAAAGTCACAACCTACACGAATATGTGTGTATTGGATTCTTATCTAAATATTCAAACAGTTTGTGTAAATCATCCTATTCATAGTTACACATTCGCAAGTAATTCGATTCCGATTGAGTATAATGAACCAAAATAGTATTCTGTAATAAGTCTTTCTAGTTATTTTTAATTGAATGTTATGGGAATAATATTTAGTTCTCAATGCTTTGTTTTCATGGAGGGGAGGGTGGAGGCGGGGGGGGGGGAGGGAGGGGGGGGAGAGATAGAGAGAGATATGACTCTCTACAGTATAAGTAAAAAGATCTTCCTTTGTTCGTTAAATTAATCACATGATACTAAGAGTCTTTAGTTATTATTTAGTTCAAAATGACGTTAATTATCGGTTGCGATTATCTATTGTGCACAACATTGTCTATCCATATACTCAACATCAAGTTAAGACACAGAAAGAATGCCAGTACACGTGTATAAATAATATACGTGTCATTTGGCATTCCTGAAATATTCTCAGAGATTTTCTCGTTCTCTATTGTTTCGGTAAAAAGTTCTTTGCACCGCTAACATTACATTTGTGACATTATATTACAATTAAATTATTTATGCGGTATATAATGTATTTTTATACATGTATTTTTGGATCGCAAATAATCGTATCGATTCTTAGATCCGATTTGTTCTCTGTGTATCATACTGACTTTGAAAAGAATACGAATGAATTGCGCACATGCGTGTATGTGTAGAAAAAATTACTTACATTAAATGACGTTGATGAAAATAACGATGTGAAATTATATGATGGTGAATTTCATTCAAAAATTTTGCCTCCAATACAACATAATATACAAGGACCCATGACTCTTGTCAAACGTCCATATATTTAGATCCATAACTCTTGTCAAACGTCCATATGTTTAGAAGGTTGTTGAGATATGAATGGTTCACTCCACATGCGACGTAAATCTCCCTGAAAGTAAACAATTAACACACACATAATCTTATGTATTATAATTTATATATCATTTTATGACATAGGGGAGAATGTCCTAAATCGGACCGTGTTCCAAATTGAACCCTTTTTAATTTAAATAAATACAGTTAAGTAGATTTGCGTGCTATTTATAATAAGTCCTTATAAGACACCGAACATGTGACAGCAGTTTGACAGTACTCTGTTATAACGTTCATAGAATAGACGCAAATATGTATTTTTGGCTATCATGCAAAAATTTTTTAAAAATGAAAATCCTTGTAAATCATTTATTATTTAAAAGATTTTAAAAATTTGAACGGTAATTGATTTAAGATAATTAAAGAGTGTAGAATTAAAAAATATCAAGAGTTTTTTTATTACTTTTGCGGTTTATTGTAAAATTTGTTCCAATCGTTCGAAAGAATCCGTGACCAAATCGGACCTATACAAAAAAATATTAAAAAGACGAAGCCAGCTAAGTCATCGAAGAAAGAAGGTTCGCCACAACCTCATTGTAGTACTGGTGATCGACCGACCAGATCTGGACTAAGGAACACTAAATCAATAAAATATCACGTGTTATCAGACTCAGATTGATGTAATTTTTTATTAATTTTAATTCAAATAATATAAACTGTATTTTTATCTTTGAATTGCTCGTTTTTAATCGATATACTAACAAAAATTAATTAAAATATTTTAAAATTCTATCTAAAAGTCCATAATAGGAGAGATACGATTTGGAACTCATAGTTCCAAATCGGACCGAAAAATGCATTTTTACATTTTCCATTATAGTCAGACACAGGTAAGAGATACGTCAAAATAGTCTCAAGCAAAAATGAAGGAAATTAAATGATCTTTCAAACGGCGCCATTGATTTTATAATCGGACTTTATTTACGCCTTATAGAGAACAAAAACTGCAAATAGGTCCGATTTAGACCACTCTCCCTTATACTTAATATAAAAGAAAAGAAATACGAAAGTTGCTATTTATATATCCGGAATTGTGGCAACACTGGTGTTGCTATTTGACATATCCATCGTAGTACGGTTTGACATTTTTGACGGTATACGTACTCAGAACGTTTTGTCATACGGACGCTATTTGTATTGTTTACAGTGATTTGAAAATTTCATCTTAGTAAAAACATGGAATTAACTCGTGAAAATTTTTGTGCGATGATTTACTACGACTTTCGACGTGGATTATCTCAACAACAGTGCATCGATCAACTCACTTCGACTTTTGGCGATAAAGCACCATCTAAAATCACTGTCTAATAAATCACTGGTTTAATGAATTCAATCGTGGCCGTTGTTCGCTCACGGACGAATTTAAACAAGATTGTGCAAAATCGGTTGTTGTGCCAGAAAACATCGATGCTGTGCTCGAAATCATAATGCAAGATCGTCATGTGACATACCGTGAGATTGAGGCATCCTTGGGTGTATGACAAGTATACACAAGAAGAAATAAGAAAAAACAACCAGCGACGCAGGATCGTTCTTCACCATGACAATGCGAGCTCTCGCCCAAACAATTCAATATTTGATCGATCAAAACATCGAATTAATGGGTCATCCGCCGTACAGTCCTGATTTTGTACCTAATTCTTTTTATTTCCGTATGCGAATAATTAATTTACGTGGTCAACGATTTTCGACGCCAGAAAAAGCGATTGATACATGTTTTGGAGATACCTCAATCGGAATCGAAAAAGTGCTATGAAAATTTATTTCAAATGTATGCAAAAATGTATTGATTATCACGGAAAATATTTTGGAAAACAATAAAACCATTTTAAATGATAAATATTTGTTTTTGTTTATTATTCCGGATACATAAATAGCAACCCTCGTATATTGAAGAAACCTTTCGTACTATTTCTGAAACTGTTTTAAATAATACAACATGTACAAGATCCAATCAAATAACATGTAAAAATTACATGTATCGAACCTTTTAACTTTTATCTTAAAACGCAATCTTTGTTCATACCTTACAGGCTATATATATATATATATATATACAAAACATAACAGTACCTTCAAATACGCCATTGTGAGCAGCGGCAACAAAGTGAAGGGCACAAGGTACAATAAGGCAGGCTGTGCAGCTTTGAACACCTCAGAGCTTACAGTGGCGGTGAGTAGACCAAGAAAATAACCAATCAAAGAGCAATGAAAATAGCTAATTCGGCTGAAGTGACGCGGCGGTGGTACTCCAGTTTCGCAGCCACCCGGCAATAGCTGAGTCTTTTTATATGCGTCGTATCGCAGGACAAAACAGAGTAATAGACCTGGCATGACAATATCACCAAGGCCTAACATTGAAAAATGTCCCGCTTGGTGTATCGATGGAAAAACTAATTTTCCAGGTAAAGGTAATTTTGGTGCTGCTCTCGCCACGCCACCTAAGTGTAATCTTCGAGCAACGAGACTTACTGGATTATCTGCAGGCCTAGTTGCTACCTATGATAATACGAAGAGAAACAAATTATATATTTTTTGTATGTTACATATGTATGTAATACTCTATGTCAAAAATATTTCTAAACAAATTATATAAGACACATTCTGTTTAATATTATCTTACAATGCATTATATATAAAAAAAAAAAAAATACCACACAATGACATTATAAATTTGTTTAAAAAGAATACAATGGTTTTGTCATAAATACCTTGGCAAGATTTAACAAAAACTTACCTTAACCATTACGTTTGTGCTGAATATGTAGGACGAAAAGAAAACCCAAAAGACATCATAAATCAGCAGTCCGGTTAATAACAATGTGGATACCTTGAGACTAGGTAGTCGAACAAATGCAATAAATGCCACGCACAGGCCCATACCCATTGCATCCATCAGCAGCCAATGTCCAGTCAAAACCCAGATGCATACTATACTCACACTGAGCGAAAACGAGAGTAACTCAGCACCCGTAAATCTTCCACAGACACCGAAAGATATTTTGTTACCATCAGAACATGGTCTAATGATATACTGACACATAGGCAACAATAGAAATGCCAATGCAACTGTAGCTATAACTGCAAAGAAACAGTATAATTTATGTTAGATGACATAGATACATACCAAGTGCTTTGCGTCATTGGGTGTTTTTCAACTGTAAAATCATTCAACATTTTTGTGCACACAGTAACACAAGTTATGTTTCAATTGCCATAATTGTCAACATAACACTACACATCTATACTCAACTCGAGGGCTATTAGTAAGTTTGTCATTTCTAGTGACAATTACATGTTACTAATCAAGTGATTGTAAATAAGACTGAGAACCTCTAACTGAAGGAGTTGAGCGACTAGTATTTTTGCCTTTTTTCATTCTATACAGATAGAAAAACCTACATTTGATCTAATTCTATCTGTAACCATATTGTATATAAAATGTACACCGTCTACTCCAATAGAGAATTGTGCACAATGTTTTATGCATTCTTGTCTATGTTTGTGTCATAATGTGTGTTAAGCAATTGGAAAGCACCCATAAAAGCTTATTCCAAATTAAAGTTGTTATTAAACGTACTGGCTGTACAAATTGCAAGAAGCATCTGCATACTGTCAAAAAAGAAAAACATGATGAGTAGAGAAATGGAAGCACCGAGAGGTAGACAGAGAGCATGCATTGTATCGAGAGTTTGAACTCTTCCTCCGTTAGCGCCATCCAGATTACCGGCGCTACTATTACTAGTAAGTCCAGTCAATAAATTACTACGTTCCTTCTCCTTTTCTCTTTCCCTTGCTTCTTGCTCCATGTTTAGAGATCGGAAACTACCGTAAACTATCAGTAGAATTGATATTAGGAAGGTGGATATCCTGGATGAATCCATTATAGAATAAGCCCTGTAACAAGTCAGGATAATATGATTGACAACTAGCGAAAAGAATCATGTACAAATCAATGAGAGATAAGACATGCACTAACCACTGATAGTCAACTTGATACGTGGCCATGTTTAAGAATGCTTGGCCGCAGCACTCAAGCACTATGCGAGAACACCTGACATTTAGATGTCTGTTGTTTAAGTGCTTTTTACTTGCACTAACCTATATCAGAGATCATCTGCTACTAGAAAAAAAGAGATTGAACAACGTTAGCTCTGATCAATCTGATCACGGTGGGGCAATAATTGTTACTGATACAAACAAATCGCTCAGAACGTACCTGGTATCCCTCGAGTTCAGCATTATTGACGAATGGAATTAGGCCTGTGGAAGCCTCGAGTCACCACTTTGGCGGCGCAATGTAAGAAAATAAAAAGATTCTATCGTGAGCTTAGAGTGCGGACGGCAGGCGGATCGAGAACAAACTCGGCGCAACGAGACGAATCAACGACATCGCGAAAAGGCTCGGTCCAGCACTGCTCTAGTATATCATCATGCGGTTAGGGAGGCGATCGTTGTAGCGTGACCCTGCCAACTGCCTCCGCGTCCAATCCAGGCATCTCCCATCCACTTTCCAACTTTCGCCCGTAAAGATATCCTGCGGGCGTGGGGCGTAACGACGAAAATGCCAGCCGAAAAGAACGTAAACGAGCCAGCCGACGACGGAAATGATCGACTCGTCTAGGACGCGACGAGACGCGATGGAGCCCAACGGGACGCGCGACGCCGTGTCGAGACGATCGGAATTCCGAAGCACTGCGTGCATGCGCTCTCTCTCTCTCTCTCCCTCCGCTCTGCGCACGTAGCAGCACAGCTGATCGCAGCTATTTACGCAACCGAGCGCCGCGCGGCCGCTCCCGTGCGGACGGAACACAGTGCCGTTCGTCGCGCACCATGAACGTTCACCATTTTGGTAAACACTCGGGTCACGTGATCCCCCCCCAGGACCAAGCGGTTTGTTACTCCCTTTACTTCGGAAAACCGCTCTCGCGTTTACCTCGCGACCTTCGTGACCGAGATCTCTCGTCACGCTGCGACGACGCGGCTCTCACCTGGGCGATCCGAAGATTCCGAAGTCTGAGCCCGCCGCAGGACTTCGCATCATCTTATCGGCCTACCGCTCGAGCGGTCGTACACGAAAACGAGTAGTATTCTATCGGTCGGTCGCGATCAGGGCGACCACCAAACCACGACACGACCTTCCTATGCACGTACTACATATGTACATACATACACTGTACCGCGAGAAATGAGAACTACTGCGCGGGTCAACCACTGCTCGAAGACTCCAAGCAACTCCAAGTGACTCGACGAGTGCAAAGCGCAAGGGCCCGCAAGCGCGTCTACCGGGTGTTTAGAAAACGTGTCCTTGCAAGTGTCAATTCAAAAAACGAAAATGTTTCAGTTATTTTTTTGGCAGCTTTTATCGCCCAAGTATATTTAAGCACTATAAGATCCGTGCATCGATAATAAGATTTTTCTCTTACTTAGTTAATTTTTATTCTTATCACAGTCTAATTAAGAATTATAATTATTTATATGTATCAATCTCTTTACAAAACGACGTTTTTTCATTAGTTATTGGTTATATATTACCGAAGCCTTAATGCGATCCTATTTTTGCACTTAATAATTTCGTTCTAGGTTCGTCTTAATATTTTAACATTGTCTAAATTTATACGAGTCACAATTCGTGATAAAAACCAAAGGCGCTTAGATTTTTATTACACAAATTTTGACACGTGTATGATATATATTTTATAATTCCTTATGTGTATATATATATATATTATATACATGTATAAAATATATATAGGCCTGTTCTTTTTCTCTGCACTAAAGTCCTTAAGCCCAAAACACATGAGATGCATAACAGAGTGCATAAACATAACAGACCGCTGGACCAATGAGCATCTTATGTTAATCAATATGGCAACTTTATGCTGGATGCTTAAGCGGGGAGCACAGACGTTTGCATAACGCATAAAGCATGTGCATAAGGAATTTCATTGGCCCATTTTCTTATGCATGAGTCAATGGACCAATCAAATTCTTTATGTATATGGTTTATGCGTTATGCAAAAGTCTGTGCTCCCCGCTTTATTGGTCCAACAGTTTTATGTTATGCTCATGCTCTATTATGCATTTCATGTGCGATAGGCTGCAGACTAGTGCGCACTGAGTGCGAAATTTTTCGGTGCCATGTATTCGGATTGTGCGCACCGTATAGGAGCCTACAGACCAGAGCGGCGCAGCGGTGAAGCGGCGAGCGATAGCCAATGAGAGCCATGATTTTGCGTAAAAGCATGGCTCTCATTGGCTCGCCGCCGCGCCGCTCTGGTCTCTGTAGACTCCTTTAGAAATATTGAATTGGTACGATTCAATTGGATCGATTCCGAAAAAATCGAGAAATTAAAGAATCGTTTGAGAATAGAGGTCTGTTCTTTATTGCTGGCACTAGTTCATCTTTTCCCTTCTCCTGGAAAAGTTCAGCAATAAAGAACAGACCTAAATTCTTCAAGAAGAAAAAGGATCGATTCTCGATGCATCGATACAAGAATCGGTAGGGGCTGCGCAGAATAAAAGGAACAGAGAATAAGAATTTTAACTTATCAGAAATCACGTATGTATGTATGTACTATGGAATACCCACTGTTTATTCCACAGTATATGATTTCTGATAGGTTGAAATTCTTCTTCTCTGTTCCTTAGCAAGCAGTGCAAACAGAGCGCAAGCGCAGTTGCGTAATGCGCATCCGTATGGACGGTATGGACTATGGACGTGCCACATCATGTCACATTATAGTATCAAAGGTTAGGTAAGCGGTGAGCCGTCACTGAGAAACGTGGTGCGTCGTAGGACGCGTGGGTGTTCTCCGTCTGCAGAAAAGAGAAATTCCGTGGTGCATGAATCATCAGGGAGCGATCGTCTGTCAATATTCGACAATTCGACTGTTACAATCCCGCGGACGACGAACACCACCATATGCACCCCTGTGCTCGAAAGTGCTGGAAAGTGCTGGAAAGTGCTCCAACTCGACGAGTGGTGACGAGAGGAGAGGAGAGCGCAACCTGCGCTTAACCCCCTTCTCTCTCCTCCTCCACGAGGATTCGAGGAATTGCGAGGAATTAGCAAAATGGTGGCGTGGTACAACGCGGGTGATGTGTAGTGATGTGTAGGCAGATATCAGCTCGCATCGCGTTCGTTTCAGGGAGGTGCGCGAGCGTAATCTGCCCGACTACGCTAGCGGCGCTAGCTCGACGGCAGGATGGGCGACCCGAAGAGTCAGCACGGTGCGCAAGAGATGAAAGGCTGGCTTTTCAAATGGACCAACTACTTGAAAGGTTACCAACGAAGATGGTTCGTCCTGTCAAACGGCCTCCTCTCGTACTACAGGTAGTTTCCTACGTGTCGTTGGATCCGCCGCGCCGCGGTCGTCGTCATCGTCAAATTCGTCGCTCTCGGTCCTCGTCGCGTCGCGTTTTTCACGTTCGCTGTTTTAACGGCGCGATCGATCTTTCGACATCGTCCGCTCGTCCGTGCGTCGAAATTCCGACAAAACAACCGATTCCCCGTTCGTTCATCCGTGATTATCATCTACTCGGAGAAAAGAAAGGGAAAAGGGGAGAATTTGTAATATTATATACGTCACGATGGAGCTCAGCTGCTCCCTGTGTTGCGCATCGCGGTTAGGTTATGTGCGCGGTAATACAACTCTTTTCGATCGCTCCTGGTCAAAAATAGCCTGGCGACAATGGCATAACAGCTGTCATAACGAGTATTCTCGCAATGACTACACGTTCGACACAACGCACGCGGAGAGGGGAACACACGCACACACATATACGTGCCGCTACGTGTCCACCGTTGCGAGTTATTTTGCTCTCTATGCAAATAGTTTCAGGTACGGTATCCGTCAGGATCTGTGCTCTAAGCATATATTAAAGAAATAAGAGAGTTTATTTTCGTAGCGTTTGTCAATTCAACTGATACGCGGGAAACGAGGAATTTATTCGGGAAGGAGTAAACTAGTATCTATCACGTGATCTGTAGTGTTGGGCTCCTTTCTATAGCTCTAAATAGTCTAAATAATTATTTATTGAAAAAAATCATTTATTTACTTAACATATTTATTTGATACAAAGACTATATTAATTTGATTTAACCATCATTTTTTTTATTAAGTAAATGGCTGTGTTTAGCAGAGAAAGCAGTTTTTTGCAACTGTTATAAAATTCTTCAGTATGATTGGTTTATACATTTAACTTCATAAGGAATCAAAAGCACGAACCATATTCAAGAATTTAACTGTTGCAAAGCGGCATTTTCTGTTAAATATAACCAATGTTTACTTACATCTATCAATGTAGTTTAATTTCAATCTTGGTTTATAACTAATTCATTTTTTTTAGTTCTAAAAATTAGTAGATATAATAGCACTCTGAAATTACTATTTACTAAATAATTACATATTTCTTTGAATAGTATAAGTGTAAACATTTACAGTAAATGAATATTTATTTAAAAAATGATAGTTATAAGTCAAATTAATAATTTTTATATCAAATACATGTTTACTAAATAAGTTTAAGGAATGATTATTTAGAGCTATTCAAACGAATATAGAGTAGAATTTAATTTTTTTTTTTTCAGTACACGTGGAAGTGGAGATTAAAATTAATTTATATTGATAGAAACGAACATTTGAGAACTTGGCGATAAGACGTCGTAGCGAGAGAGAAAGAGAGACAAAGTATTACGGTGACAACATTTTATCATCTTATAGAGAATGCCATGTGTGCATTATAAGCAAGCTTTGCGATTCTATCGTTTTTTTAAATGGTATATAATTCACTGTCTAATTTATCCAAATAACGCTGAATTAAACACCGTTTACTCAGATCGTGTAATAACGTTCATTTCCAGTTCTACCTAGATTCAAGATTTACATGTATTCGTCAGCATATTAAAGTATGGAATACGCAGGAGTCTTATGCGCATCACAGGTGCAGCGTGTCGGAAAACAGTCAACAGTTACATAAAATCGTGACAAAACTTCTTATGGATGATGATGAGAATACGACATTGCATACACTCGCTCGCGTTTATAGAATACGTCGTGAAGGGCGTATAGGGATCAGAGTAGGAAGAATTTCTTGTATAGCATAAAATATTTCTAAATATTTTATTGCAAGATTTGAATTATTTCAAACATTTTTCATGTCCAAAAGAGCAGAATTTTTGAAATATTATTTTTTTACAATATTTCTTAGATATTTTTATCAAATATTTTAACGTAATGTGTAAAAATATGTCACAAATGTTTACCAAATATTTCTAAATATTTTATTGAAATATTTAAAAGAATTGTTCATATATATTATAAATATTTGTATTTATTTTGTGTTGTTTAATAAATTTGGAGTTTTAGTCTTCCTGGAGACTTTGTTTCAGATATTAAGTTGAAAAATTATTCAAAACAATTTTCTGCGTATTATCACAATGTTGTGTAATGATTAGTTCTACACGACATGAAATATTTATATAAATTATTTCTTTTTAATTTGGTAAAATATTTTAAAAATATTTTGTAAATATTTGTAAGACGTAAAAAATATTGTGTTAAAATATTTCACAAAATATTTTTAAAATACATATGTTGTATAAGAATAAAAATATTTCAAAAATTCTGATTTTCTGGACATATATTTATTATTTAGAAAGATTTTATAAAAATCTTTCGAAATATTTTACATCTTGCAATGAAATATTAAAAAAAATATTTTTGAAATATTTTATACTGTGTGTGTATTATTTCACATAGGATAAATTTATCAAGCCTGTTGCTTGCTTATATAGCATAAAGGAGAATCTCTTCTTTCTGCCAATCCATTTCTACCAATGTATAGACTACAATTTTAATCTCAGGTTTTAACTTACTCTTAATCTTTTTCTAATTCTTTAAACTAAAAGAAGATTCAAATTAAAAAAAGTAAATTAAAATAAAATTAAAGTTAATCTACATTGATAGAAATAAACGTCTGTCCCACAGCCAATTAACAAGCTTGAAGTCTCAAGTCGTATAAGAAATTGACAGTTACAGTCAAATATGATGAGAAGAATAATCGTTTATATGATTGATCAATTTCATAACACTTAAAAACTTGGGTAATGTTGTAGAA